AGTTATTATTTTAAAATCATGGCGATCATCGAATACGAAAGCAACAAAAATTTCTTTGAGGAACCCCCTTTCGGTGAAGAGGAATTACAAAGTGATATTACGAATTTCATAAAATATTGCAAGGATAATAAATACCTTCCCAGAAACAGGACAGAGTCTGAATTAGTGTCGAAAAATCCCAATGTACCAAATAACATCTTTCGAGTTCTGCGTGCGTCTGAAATGATTGATATAGATTATGTTAACGACATGCAGTACATATCGATCGACGATTTGTATCTGAAACCGTTATGGGATGAACACGACTTATTGTTCAGACAAATAACCGGTTCAGCCGTAGAATGGAAGCCGACGATAAGACGGCACGCAGTCGAAGTGAATAAAACCAAGGAATACATCAAAAACCGCCAATGGATATCGAAACCGTTCGGACATCTTAGTTACCACAAGTTGATTAAACATATTATCAGTGTGAGGATTTACACCTTTCTGTGGGTATTGTTGGAAATATTCAACAACGAAATGCCTAAAATGAATCCTTTCCGTTTAAATCTTGCGTATTTGGATACAATGGGAACAATTGATAGGGTACAAAAGTATATGCACTATACCGAAACTTTATTTTTTGATTTAGTTGCAGCGTTTAATGGTGCAAAGCACGAAGATCCAATAAATTTTGATAGCCTTATAGCTAGAATATCCGAGAGAGTTAAAGACATTCTCGTGGAGTTGAATGGGAGAAGTTCAAATGGAAGCAATTGGATCTGTGTTAATATAAACGAAGACTTTACCTATGATATGATATTGGAATTTCTTCAAGAATTTGACGACAACTTCAGTCAGTTAAATGAAAAGTTAACGATTTTAAACTATGATCTTGCAATAGGTATTCTGGTCGAAGGACACTGATGTTATTGGGGATAATGACCAAATAAGTTATCTAGCATAGCATTTATTATTTTTATTACCTCATTCCATACTAATGGTACAGTAAGTCTGTCAAATCCTATTTGGTCATTCATTTCCTTTTCTATTAAATCCTCTAAATCTCTTTAGCGTGTTATTATTTTAATTGATTTCTTTTTTTACAATACATAATTATGAAAAACACAAATTGTATTATCTATTATACACAATAAATAATTTAATATTATTTCTATAAGTTATATAGTGGCTGTAAAACGGTATGAGGTGAAGAAAAATGGCGAAATAATGTATCTACATAGACACATAATCTATAGTGTACACGTTGTATTTTTCAAATTTTATCTAAAATATAAATCTTATTATCTATTGAAAATAATAAATGTTTTAAGTATTATTTCAACATAATGACATACCTATATGAAATTTCAATTTAACGTATAAAGTAAAATCAATAAAAGAAATTCGTCTTGTAAGTGGTAGTTGGTTTCTAACGTTTTTCTGAACGAGTCAAAAGTAACTTAATGTCTAATTATAGTTGCAGAGGTGGACTTAGAGGACGTTGTTGGGGGATCAGATGACCCACCGTTTTTTACGACTTCAAATGGCCTCTGTCATGTCAGTGGTGCTATAATTTTAAAAATATTACACAGATTTATTAATTTTATAAAAAGTATGTTCCTAAAATTCCAGTAAATTTGTTCACTCACAAGTCGTCTTTCGTCTACATAGGTACTTTTATTTTTTGCTATAAGCTTGTTTGAAATTACCTTGACACCTAAAATTATGAACTATAACGATCACCAAATAAAAAAAATCCTACTGTCTGGCGGGACAAGGCGGATTATTAAAGAAAAAGAGTATTTTATTTTTTATACAAAAGAGTTGCTTGAATGAACTACTAATTAGAGAATGTAGAGAAGAATAACGTAATCCATCCTCAAAAGATGACAATATCCTCCTTCACCTTAAGTTTTTTACTTAAAAATGTGTTATTGAGTAGTTAAAAAAAATGATTTGTATTTTATTTGTCCAAAAACCAAAATAAAACAAGTGTAACCGTAATGATCTTTAATAGCAGTATAGCACTTGACCTATTCTCCGATTATGTTATGAAAAAGTATGCTTATCATACCAATAACAGTTTTATACTTGAGTATTGGAACTCTTTTGTACATTGGGAAATTAAATATTAATAATTGATACTCATTACTCAACTTAACATACTCACAATTTCATAAGTCACGCAAAAAATGTTTACTCTGGAGATTACATTTATTTTTTACTTATTACTTAATAAACAATTATTTACCTACGCTATCTGCAAAATAAAGTCCGACAAAAAAAGGATGTATGAACTCTCACAATTTTCCGTCTAGAATATATCACAATTATGTACATTATAATTGCGTGCACTTGTATATTAACCTGTCGTTACCCATATTTTTAAATTTTTTTTCAGTCTTACAACTAAAGTGGTTAAAATATATGCATAAAAATAATATGTAAAAAATTTAAGATCGATTGGTTAAGTTTGACCCGTGTTTTTGTTTAAATATAATACAAGTTTTTGGTTGACATATCGTTATAATTGCTTTGTATAAAACCATGTAAAAAATATTATTTATAGAAAATTAGATGTATAAAGTAGTTGTATTTTTGTGAAACATATTAGTTTAAGGGTTCATATTTTTACGATTATCATTTGTTTATAGGCACGAGTATGAACACCACAATTTGTATTTCTCTTAGCCGTTTCTTTTATAAAATGTTTTTTGTTGTACCGTCGAATGATTTGATCTACACCCAAATTGGAATTTCGGATTAGCATCTACGCTAAGTATTACTGTTTTACTACATCGGATATCGCTTGTTGATCAATTGTGCGGAGTGGAGGGATAATTTAAGTTTCTTGATATATGAGCATTTTTGTGGTCTATCATAAACTCGAGTAGCCCGAGTGCATATTTGACAAGTACTGATATTTATATCTACCTGATTTCTATGATTTTGCTAAATGAGTGTTATAATGTTTTTACGACGAATTAAAGAAGAAAATATAGAGTGTAGTAAAACGCCAAAATTATGTTTTTTAGAACAAGCTTGTGCGGTTTTTGTTATGACTACAGTAATGTTTTCGGCTATTTGTTCAGCATTTCGGCTCGTAGGAATGAAAAAAAATGACAAAATGTTGTATATTTTTATATATGCAGAATAATAATTAACATTGTTTTATAATTTAGTGTTTTTTTAAATTTTTTTATTCGAAACATTTACAATCTGTATTAATAAATACAAAAGTAAAATAAGTAAATTTATAAGTAAAATGGCTAATTTTTTTTTTTTACAAAAAGACGACTTGAGTGAAGGGGGCATCCAGTGATACTACTTAAGGTGTGTAAGTTAATGTTTTTTAATCTAGTGTTTGTGTGTGGTAAAAATTGTTTTAAAACTATTTATTTGGATTTGTGTTGAGGAGATCTCTGGGCCATATACACTTAAGGCAACGTAGTTGGTTATCAGGGAGAGTGAGAGATGATAATTTAGATATTAGTGGATTATGGTGATTGAAAGTGTTGTTGTGGAAGTTTTTATAGAGTTGGGTAGCTAGAGCCGATATTGTTGGAATTTTTAGATCGTTTATGTAGAGTTCGGTTACTGACATACCATAGGGTATTAGTAATGAGGCAAAAAGATATTGATCGGCAGGACTGATAGATTAGGATATTTTAATTTTTTGCTGCGCCCCATAACTGGATTCCGTAAGTTATAGTAGAATGAATTATTTTTTTGCAAAAGAGATGTTTTGTATTGATGGGTAGTTTTGATTTAAATAGTTGTCTGATGGAGTCTGAGATTAAGTGCTTTACGTTTTAGTTTTATGTGATTAGATCAGTTAAGTTTTTTGTCTAATTGGATACTCAGATATCTGACGACATTATCTTGGAGGGTATTGTTATTAATTTCTATCGGGGGACTAATGCCTGGACGGAGAGTAAACATAATGTGTAAGGACTTTGTTTGTATTGATTTTAATTCTTCAGAGTTTTAACCAGTTTGGTCAGTCGTCGAGATATTTTTGAAGAGTAGGTATAGGATGCTAAATTTAGGTAGTATTATTAGAATGTGGGATGTCGGAGGTAAAAATATTGTACAAGGTGGGTGCTAATATACGTCCTTGGGGGACTCTTGCTTGTATTGATTGAAGGTTAAGGTGATCTTAACAATATTGTTTGTTTTCTAGGGACTGAGCTATGATGTCAACTATTCGATGGCCTAGGTGAAGAGAGGAGTGTTTGTTTTTATATCCGAACTGTGTGCCCGGAATTATTTTTAGATTCATTAAAATTGTATTGATTTTTTTCAACAGTATTTTTTCTAGTAATTTTGAAAGCGAGGGTAAGAGACTAATAATTGGTGGATATTAGAATAAACAGTCAGCTGGTTTGCCAGGTTTAAGTATAATAATACTTTGTTTCCAAATGGGTGGTATATGAAAAAACGGAGAATAGAGTTTAAAATGAATGTGAGAACCAGGAAATTTCTTATTTGATAGTTTTTTGATCATAGAATTTATTTCTGAGGGGGAGTATGATTTGTTGGGAAGGACATAAGTAAGGTATTTGTTAGGGGATTTTTTATGTATGAAGTGTGTTTGATATTATGTATTTCTGGATGTGGAGTGAAGATGTTTTGGAGGTGTGCTGCAAATAGGTTCGCCTTATCTATATTTGTTATTGCTAATGAGCTACCTGGATATTTTACTGTGTGGGCATCTTATCTATGTGTTACATAATGGTTTTCTCTTGTATTTTCTGATTTTACCAATTACACAATTAGACTCCAACACTATTACAGTTTAAAGTATATCAACATAAAAATATGACGTCATGCTTTAAGTAAACAGTATAAAAGCAATAACTGTTATTATTTTGTCTAAATGTGTGATTTAACCAGACATTTATAATTTGTAAATACGTTATACAAACAAAATTATTTGCTAAAGATGTTTCAAATGTGAAAGTCAAATTTACGTTGCTAATGTAAACCGTTATTCCCAGCATTTAAATAGCTTAGTTACATTATTATAATTCCATTTTGACTAATTGGACTTACGTAGTAAAGCTTTTTTAAAAATGATGGCAAACAACTGTATTTTTTTGTCGTTACACTACATACTAACAGCCAACTTTATGATGATTGAATCAACAAGCAAAGTAAGCATAATTTGTTTTTTCCAGTCTTAAAAGTTCGTTTTTACACTCATATAATTTAGAAAGACCCAACATTTCGCTAGCTGTTCTAAATACTAGAAGGTTAACAAGTAGTACTTATATAGGGTTTTTTAGATCTATTACAACAAAAACCCTACAATTTCTTCCGTGTAAAAAAGTGATAGGTAAAAGCAAATATATTATTTCAGTACCATTAAGATGTGATGCTATCTTGTATTGATTTAAGTTAAGTAAATCAAAAATATTATTTAATATTTTAATAGTACTTGGCGAGAATATTTTTACAAGGATTTGTATGTTTAACGTTTAGTAATTTTTGTACATACTTTGTATCACTAATCCTACGAGAGTGCTACAAGAATATATTTTTTACCTAGCAGTTTTTATAACAAAGTGAAGCACTTTTTTTGTGATATAATTAATTTGATTCTTAACTGTAATGATTAACATAAAGTGATTTTCTGAGGTAAAAACGTCTTGTAAAACAAGTTCACGATAAATTTTATAAAATCCACTTTATAATGGATTTTGTACAGGTTTAAAAGTGTATAAAACTAACTTAATGTGTTCACGAACAAAGAACAACCTATACACGACTACACAACATATTATATAAAAACAGATTGTTCGCTCGAGGCTACAACAAAATAATTAAATATAGGACTCCTTTAGTGGTCCACTAATATCAATGTAACCATCTGATGGGAATTCGTTTGTAAACGTGCACGCGGGTTTTCACATTTGAGTGAAGCAAAATGCTTCTTATAATTTCACCGAGAGTGTTACAATAATATTGCTCTTCCAATTACAATTAATTTTATGTCTTACACATTAACTAAAATAGATTTGAATGCACGAGTTAGGTATTATTAAAAAAAAACATTTTAAAATGCTCTATATCTAAATATGTAGCATTATATTTAGCTTCAATGCGGAGCATCAATGCTATTGGTTTTACAATGATGCGAGCTTTTTTTTATTTGTGTACACTGTAAGTTTTTCAACACTCGACTAATTCCTTTGAGTAGCAACTCTATAAATAACAAATTATATCTAGTCGATACTTTGGGGGGAGAGGGAGGGAAGTTGAAAAGTTCACTCTTCACACCAATAGTCTCAAATTTAAGTTATACATACATGTACGACGAACCAGCTGTGAGAATCGAAAAACTCTTATTGTTTTAAATTGGCATCATCATCTACCCGAACGCCATTTGAAATTTAATCAGTTGATACAATAGTTTATCGGGTATTATTTATAAATCACACCTGCTTTTATTTTGGCTGTATTGCAGAGTAAAATCATTGATTATATAGGGTGTTTCATAAACATGGAAAAATTTGATGTTTACAAAATTGTATTAAAAACATTTTTTTTACAAATTTTTTGCATCAAGTACATGCTGATATCCTCTCATTTTTGTATGTATGAAAGACTACATCAGGCAAATGGGCACCACGACTTCGACGACAGGTGTTTACACGTTCAAGGAAGTTAGTGATGACTCGCCCACAGGTGACCGCATTCTCTCGCGGAACCGTAACCAAAACTGGTCTCCCAGGTCATGTGACCTAACACCACTAGACTTCTTTCTTTGGGGTCACATCAAAACTCAGGTGTATGAGAATAAGCTTCGAACGATTGCAGAATTTAAGGAGGGAATTCGAGACAAACTCGCAGAACTTGATGCGGCCACTTGTGGGAGTCATCGCTAACTTCATTGCACGTGTAAATGCCTGTCGCCAAAGGCGTAGTGCCCATATGCCTGTTGAAGTCTTTCATACATACGCAAATGTCAGGATATCAGTTTGTACTTGATGCAAAAAGTTTTGTAAAAAAAAATGTTTTAATACAATTTTGTTAAGGCCCCTGGATACCGACCATTTTTAAGGAGTTTTGTATAGGCAATATTTAAGAAAAAAGTGGTTTTATTAAATTTCGACCATGTTAATTAGTTTACCGGTTAATTTATATGAGCTTCATGGTATTATTTTTAATTTAAACAATTTTGTCTATGAGTAAAAGCCATTTTATTTAATATAATAGTACATTTTTTGTCCATCGCACAGGCTGAACCAGTGATCCGATAAGTAATCTGAAAACAGATTTGAATGTGTCATGAAGTTTACTTGAGATCGGTCAACGTACTTTTTTGATATCTTATTCCTATTACGCATAGAACACGTTTGAACATTTTATACAATTATAAAATCAAATTTGGAAAGGGTTAAAATTAAAAATTGTAAAAAGTGCTCTGACCGATCTCAAGTAAACTTCATGACGAATTCATCTCTGTTTTTAGATTGCTTTTCGGATCAATGGTTCGGCCTGTGCGATGGACAAAAAATGATGTGTTTTGGCTGAAAAAAACGGTCGGTATCTAGGGGCCTTAACATCAAATTTTTCCATGTTTTTGAAACACTCTATACATTCTATAAATAGCTCTGTTCTGTAGAAAATATCAAACTGCGCGATATTTTATGGTCGGTAAAGCGCGTTAAGAGAATTGAAATTGATAAAAAAGTATTTTATTATTATTTTAATTTCGTCTTTCGAAAACGTCTTCAAAAGCGATAACTAAACGCGACGGGGTTGTGAAAGAAACCGGGTTTCCGTCCAGATTAAAGAGGGAGTAATATTTACCTATGTAGTTGAATATTAACAAATGGTAAATAATTTTTTAAAAAAAACCAGTATACTCTGCATTTTATAGTTTTGTTTTAAAATAAAATCAACTTTTAATTTTAATTTTCCTCGTATATTTTATTACAATTAAAAAAAAAACAAATGATATACTAAACAAACATATACTATTTATAATATTTCAAACGTTTAATATAATTTTATATTTTAAACATTTATTACTTAAATTAAAATATATTTTTGATCGTTATTATTATTGAAAATGGATATTTAGATATTAAGAAACAAATTATATGGAATTTAATTAATACATTTAAAAGTGTTGTAAAATTCATAATTTTTTATTAGGTTTCGGCAAAATTTTTTTTTTGTGCTCTTAATTCTAGAGGACTATTTATATTTTTCAAAAATTTTAAGAATATAAAAGACAGTACAGTGTGGTCGGGCCATAGTGGGGTTAGGGCACAGTAGAGTCGGGTCATAGTGGGGACAGGGGGGGGGGTCAAATGTTTAAAGAAATTATAATTAATAAAAGTGACAAAATCACTTTCAAATAAACGTATAGTGCTTATTTGTAAACGCTTTCTTACTGTGCTTGGTTTGGACTTCACATTAAATTGCAGACATTGAATACAAACCAAAAAATAATTAGAAAAAAAACCTATTATTAAAATACAATTTTACAATCTATCCAACTTTTTTTTTTTGGCCATCTTTTTGTGAACAAAAAAATGGATTATATTAGTAAGTTTGTAACTCACTCGAGGGTAAAGTGGGTAAGGCCACGGGATGAGGAAGAGTTATTAAGGTGAAGTCAGTTATTTAACACAAACTTTCGGCTGATTTTCTGATTTTGTACTAAAAAATAACAAATAAACAAAACTGAAATCTAATGATGTACAAGCATTTACAATAAACCTAAATGATGTTCTGAATGTAAACAGATACTTAGAAAATACACGATTACTCTGAAACAACTATAATACTCGGTAGTCACACGACCAACTGTTGGTGGTAAAACACAGCTAGAGCTGTCTGACTAGGTCGAAAATAGGTGTCAGCAAATTCCATTCAACTCGACCATGACCAACATCAATTCCTGATGCCTTATTTTTATAGTAAATTATTAACACCTGCAAAAACAAATATTAATATTATCAAAACTGGGGTTCGTAACAGTGGCCATAAGGAAAAGTATCTATACTGGCAGGCAATACAACTTTTTTGTCATCATGTCAATTCAACGTAAACTTAAGGGGTTGCAATACTATTCACATTATGGTCATATCACCTAATTGTCTTCACTTTTCAGTAGGGGTAAAACTATCAGGATCTTTACTATTTATGCCCTGGAATACACAATATTTGTGGTCATATTCATTGATCAGCCTCTGACAAGCCTTAGGACTACAGACAAATGACATCTTCATTCTATTTCGAACATTTGCCACAGACTTACCAGTTGAAAAAATAACATAATTAAATTTAAAACATTTTAACGTAATTTAGAAACAAAATATGAAAAATAATTATTTATAGCTGATTATCGAAAATGTAAATCAACAATTTGCGTAAATTAATCATAATTAAAAAAATTAGTAAAATACTTGTGTACTTGACCAATAAAGTTTTAATAGCTGCTAGGTATATACATTTTGCTAAAACCGATAATTATGTATATCAGTGCATATTTATTTTATAGGTTTCGCCGTCATATTACGTCGATAATACATTCACTCCTTTACACGTCGATACAGTGAATAATTTAGTAACCTACAACCAGAACGAAATAAAATTTAGTGACAAAGAACGTACATTTCTGACAACTCCTGTTCGGACTTACAACGACACCAAAGACCGCAAAACAGTTTTTGAAAAATTTGATAAGAAAATTGAAGACATTAAATGTACTTGTTCTGTAATCGTGAAATCTAAACTGGCGTACTTATCGAATATTCTAGAAGGCTTGCAGAGTGGGGGAGCTATAGAAGTTGCAAAAGATAAATTAACCGAATTAAAAGAAGAAGCGGGTCTTATAGTTCTAATGTTTCAAATAGGCCGAGTCAAAGCGGGTAAATGGTTTTGGAGTTTTTATTTTAAAATCATGGCGATCATTGAATACGAGGTCAACAAAGATTACTTTGAGAAAACTCCTTTCAGAGAAGAGGAATTGCAAAGTAGTATTACAAATTTCTTAAACTATTGCAAAGAAAATAACTATCTTCCCAATTATAGAACAGAGTCAGATTTATTGTTGAAAAATTCCATTGTACCAATTAACATCTTTCAAGAACTTCGCGCGTCTGTAGATTATGATAACGTCATGCAAAACATATCGATCGAATATTTGTATCTAAAACCATTATGGGATGAACACGAATTATTGTTTGGAGAAATAGCAGGCTCAATTGTAGAATGGAGGCCAACGATAAAACGGCACGCAGTCGAAGTGGATAAAACCAAGAAATACGTTGAAAATCGCCAATGGATACCAAAACCGTTCGGACACCTTAGTTACCACAAGTTGATTAAACAAATTATCAACACCAGAGCGTACATCTTTCTGTGGGTAATGTTGGTAATTTTTGATAAAAAAATGCCCAACATGGATGCAAACAGTTTTAATACTATTTTTACGCAGACAACCAATACACTCAATACGGTATTCGAATTCATAGCATATTCCGACCCTTTTTTTTATGATATAGTAACAGAGTACCATTGGACCATGCCTGAAGACACAAACCTTGGTAACCTTATAGCTAGAATATCGGTAAGAGCCAAAGATAGTTTAGTCGAGTTAAATGGGAGGAATTCAGACGAAAGTGATTGGATCAGTATTAACGTAAGCGATGAATTAAGCAATGATACAATGATGGAATTTCTCAACGAATTTGCCGATAACTTTAAGCAGTTGAAAGCTAAATTAAGTCCTTTTTGTTATGTGCTTGCTATGTACATTCTGAACGAAGGAGAATAATGTAGTTCATTATCATGGACAATACTTGTAACTAACTTCGCACATTTTAAAATACATTTTATTTTAATATAACGATATTGCAATTTTTTTTGTATAGATGTATCTAAAATAAAAATTGTATTATGTATTGCACATGATGAACATTTCTTAAATACATATTAAATGTTATTTTTAACTTAAATCCCTCACTTATTATTCTTACTATATATAATAACATAGTATATTGTTTTTTTAGATTAAAATGTGTCATCACGTTTAGTATATTCTTACAAGTTAGATAAATCAATTTTTTACATATAATATAAATATTATAAACTTTACAATTTAGGATTAAGTTTTAGTGTAACTTAAGCACGTTAAATCTTGAAAAAAAATGTTGTAATCATGCCATTACTTTTATGGACATCTATTTAGAGTGATCTTAGAAAGTTGTGAGTACTTAAGTACAAGTTTTAGGTTTCAGTTATTTTTTTTTTTTAACTTAATTTACGGTGTAAATAATACAATTTTTAAAAACAAATTATATATTAAAAAAAACATGAGCTATTTATAATATTTCAAATGATTAATAAAATTCTACATTTTTAATATTTATAAATTAAGCTAAAATACATTTTGATCATTATTATTATAAAAATAATGGCTTTAGGCATTAAGAAGTACATTTTATGGGAAATAAATAACACATTTAAAAGGATTGCAAAATTCTTAATTTTTGATTAGGGTGGTTTTGCCCCCAGAATTTGTAGAGAACCATTTACATGATTTAAAAATTTAACAATAAAAAGTCAGTACAGTGGGGTTGGAGCATAGTGGGGACGGGGAAGTCACATGTTCATAGGAATTATGACATCTGAAAGTGATGAATTGACTTTCAATTTAACGCTTCATTACGAATGAGTAGTTAGTATGTTCAAACCAGTACAGTCCAAACCAAACATCGTATAAGCCAGCACAGTAAGAAAGTATTAAATTGAGATGCATTATAACACGAGTTGCACGATTCACTCCTAATGCATCCAATGCTTCGGTCCGTCCCATGTACACATCTATGACCTCACATAGCCTTAAGTACAAGTCCTGGTAAACGACTGCTTTGATTCGTATTCTCGTTCGGTCCAGGTTGGCGGTCAATCCTTTTCGGCCTGTACCTCCGGACTAGACCCTGGAAACTATCGTAGGACTCTCTTACGGTGGAAGCCTAGACTGAACTTAAGATCCAGCTAAGTTAAGTTCGTTAGAATTTAAAGGGGTTGCAAAATTAAAAAACAAAAAAATAGTAATAAAACTTGCACTTACCTTAAGTCCCCTTAGGGACTTTTAATATCGACTACGCCAGTTGTTGAGGTCATGGTGAAGAATTGGGGTGGTTAAAGTTGAATAAGGTTAGAGTACTTAAAGTAACGTGGATGACTATATTATTATCCAAATATGGCAATACACGACATAAGTAATAATGGAGCTCGGTGTCCACGAACATGGAAAGTTTTAAGGACCTTAGAAAGTCTTTGAATAAATTCTCTGATTGAAAATTTCTAGGTTTTTGTAATTACTTTTATGATTCTTTTTGAAGTATTGGTGACTTATAACTATTCCTATGCAATTCCAAGCAGTATTACCGTATTTAAGAATTGATTGAGTCATGGCAAAAAACTATACATAATTGATTTATCAAGTACATTCCTAGCATTTATATAAAAATAGTTCAATTTTCGAATTTTATTAATTAGGTTTGTTATGTAAATATCCCATTTAAGGTGCTGGTCTAATGTGACACCATGATATTTTACAATCTCAGTTTTTTTAATTAAATCACATAAATCAATTTTATATTGAAACTTTGATTTTTGTGTATTTTTATACACAAAAACTGTGTATATAATTGTGGCTGGGTACTTTTGTCTTGCGTGAAACCAACAATTTTTTTTATATCGAAATGTAATTTCAAATTGTGTTTAAGAAACCATTTATTAAAATCATGTCTGATTCGGCATGTTGATAAGTTTATACATAGTTGTATAGGTATATCAATACATATTATATCTTAACGTATAGGATGATTCAGATAATGTTTTTAAAATATTGACCATATAATTTTCCTAAGAGCCTTACCAAACCTGACTCAGAAAATTAAATAAAAATATGTACGCATAATGATAAAACACAAAACCGAGCACAATCCAAACCAGCAAAGCAAAAGTCTAGTTAAGGAAAATAGTAAAGTAGAAAACTAGACCATTGAAACTGTGTACATTTTTTCCGGGTATTCTCGTTATCGTGTTTACAGACACAAAAAAACACAAATCATTTTAAATCCAATACCGTCTCAGCTCCGCATTGAAACTAAATAATTAGATCAAGCCAAAAAAGTATAATTTTTTTAGAATATTATGACAGTATTGTAGTAAAATGTTAAAAAATTTAAATATCATGTTGACCCATCACAATAAATTTTAAACTTAATAATGAAAAATAATTATTCAAAACTGGTTATCAACGATGAAATTCAACAATTTTATTAAATTAATCTTAATATACATTTTTAAAAAATATACAAGTACTTGACCAATAAAGTTAAAAAAGTTAATAGATATTATATGGAAAAAAAAGAGAGAACTATGTTTATACTTATAATACGTGAGTACATTTTTTTTTATAGGTTTCGCCGTCGTATTACGTCAATAAAACATTATCTGATGCATACGTCATTACAGTGAATAATTTGATAACCTACAATGAGCGAGAAATAAAATTTAGTGATCAAGAAATTACGATCCTGGCAATTCCTGTTCAGACTTATAACGACACGAAGATCCGCGATAAGGTTTTTGACAAATTTGACAAGAAAATCGAAGACATTAAATGTACTTGCTCATTAATCGTAAAAACGAAATTGGTGTACTTGGCAAATATTCTGGAAGGGTTGCGAAATGGCAAACCTATTGAAGTCGTACGGAAAGAACTAAACGTGTTAAAACAAGAAGCTGGTAATATGGTCCTGTTGTTTCAAAAGGGCAATGTTAAAGCTGGTAAATGGTTTTGGAGTTATTATTTCAAAATCATGGCGATCATTGAATACGAGGTCAACAAAGATTACTTTGAGGAAACTCCTTTCGAAGAAGAAGAACTACAAAGTGATATTACAAATTTCATAAATGATTGCAAGGATAACAAATACCTTCCCAGAAATAGAACAGAATCTGATTTGATGTCGAAAAATCCCAATGTACCAAATAACATTTTTCAAGAACTTCGAGCGTCCACAGTTATTATTGTAGATTATGTTAACGAAATGCAACACATATCGATTGACGATTTGTATCTAAGACCATTTTGGGATAAACAGGAATTATTGTTCCGTCAAATAACCGGCTCAGCCGTAGACTGGAGGCCAACGATAAGACGTCACGCAGTCGAAGTAAATAAAACCAGGGACTATATTGAAAACCGCCAATGGATATCAAAACCGTTAGGACACCTTAGTTACAACAAGTTGATTGAACAAATTATCAGTGTGAGGATTTACACCTTTCTGTGGGTTATGTTAGTAATATTTAACAGAGAAATGTCTAAAATAAATCCGTTTCATTTAAAACTTTTGTGTATTGAGTCAATGCGAACAATTGATGTGGGACACGAATTAATGCTATACACCGACACTTTTTATTTTGATGTAGTAACAGAGTTACGTTGTGCGATTAATGACAACCAAACTAACTTTGATAGTATTATAGCTAGAATTTCAGTAAGAGTCAAAGACATTTTAAATGAGTTAAACGGGTGTAAATTAAATGGAAGCGTTTGGATCAGTATTGAAATAAATGAAGAGTTTACCTATGCTATGATATTCGAATTTCTTCGAGAATTTAGAGATAACATTAATCTGTTAAAAGAGAAGATAACAATTTTTAACTATGAGCTTGCATTAAGTATTCTGGTCGAAGGAAATTGATGAACTTATCCTAATTAGATGATAGAAAAACAATTAAAAATTAATTTATAAGATAAATGATGTGTAATGTAATATATTACACCTATCTTTTTTTTTCATCTTTATTACCTCACACTTCTACTAAATACTTAATTTGTTCACGTTATTGTTATTTTAATCACTTTCTTTTTTGAATATATCTGAGTACGTTTTAGTAATGTTTTTTTTATAGTTTTATCTAAGACACAAATCGTATAATTATCTATTATACATGATGAATATAATTGATATAATACAGAAAGAGGACCAAATCACGTAACTAACTCACTATTGTTCTTTCAGAATAATTTTTTCATTAATTTATTTATTAATTTAAGAATTAATTCTTAATTATTCTTTTTGTATTATTTTTACATATAAATGAAATCTCTTTTAAGTTGAAGTGAAGAAAAATATCTAAATTATGTACTGTACACGGTATATTGTAATTATTTTCCAAATTTTATCTAAATTACAAATGTTACTATCTTTTATACAAATTAATAATTACTGAAATAGGAAATAAATGTAATAATTATATTTTGGACACATTTTATGAAATTTATATAGCATCCCCGATGCATTACATTTATTTAAGCAACAATATAATATAGGCATAATAGATAATTATACACAAAACACAATTGAAAATAATTCACTCTAATTGAACGATTAGATAAACTTAAACTAAATAAATAAATAAGGTATTGGTTTAACTAATAGTTAAAAAGTATCTGATTGACCAAATTATGTACGATACTACGATTGTGACTTACTTGTACATGAACTGTATGATGCTTAAATTTGATTAAGTACATAATTATTTTAAATATTTAAACTCTATAATGCTTAATATATTTAATGTATGGGTCGAACTTAAATTGTTTAAATTTGAAAATTCTTAAGAAAAATGTACCATTTTCTTGACCTTTTTGACTTCTCATGTTTTATTAACTTATTAGGTTATACACCGGCCGCACCTGTCTAATGTTACCAACATATTGTCTGGTAGGCGGTCACACCTAACATCAGGCTGTGCGGCAACAAATGTTTAAATTATTATTTTTACATAATTATTGAAATGAAATTTCAATTTAGCATAAAGAGTAAAACCAAAAAAAAATTACATCTTCCATGTGGTATGAGGATTTCTGAACGACTCAAAAATAATTAGAGCTAAAGAAGCCAAGATTTTAAATCAATCCAAAAAA